AACAGCGAGAGTGAGAGAGAGAGAACAGCGAGAGTGAGAGAGAGCGAGAGTGAGAGAGAGAGAGCAGCGAGAGTGAGAGAGAGRRAACARCGAGAGTRAGAGAGAGAGAGCAGCGAGACTGAGGGAGGGAGAACAGCGTGAGTAAGGGAGCGAGAACTRTRAAAGGGAGAGAAAGAGAGAGTGGGGTGGCACATCCAAAGTTGACTGTSAAACTWGCTGTGGTGGCCTAGTTGCAATTTCCAGTTGACTGCTAAAAACTCACCATTGCGCGGGGTGGCTGAATTATCCATTGGYTGATGAAACGCAMTGCTGTGTGASACCGGTTGACTGTTGTAACTCCCTAGTGCGTGAATTGGYTGAATTATTAATTGGTTGTTGWAACGTACTGTTGAGCGATACCAGTTGACTGTTGGAACTCCTTGCTGATCGAAGCTGCTAAATTACAAAAAGGAAGAAAAAGAAAAAAGGGAGCGTGACAGGACGCCCCCGACTTCGATCCCTGCTGATCGCTGAGGACCTCGGAAGCGGGCGCGGCGAGTGACAGGCGCCGTAGCCCTTGACTTCAGCGAACGGTAGGCGCCCCTCCCTGGGTTTCGTCACACCGTGACGTTGTCCGCCCAAATTGCGTATCAAAAATATTGTGGCCAATCACTGTCCTTGCCTTTGCACCACTTAAATAGCGACGCTATCAGGGTCTGGTGCCCTCTCTCTACTGGGGAGTTCGACTGTGGGTGGTAGGCAGTGGCTACCAAAACTCTCGCCCCAGCTCTCTTGAATACATTCTGAACCTCGTCAGCCAGGAATTCCGCTCCTTTGTCCATCACTATCTTGCTGACACAACTATACCTAGATAAGTACTCTAGGACGAAGTTCTTCACTTCCCTTGCCGTCTTACTCCTGATAGGTCTACCGTCCACGAACTCCGTGAAGTCGTCTCGTATGTTCACAACATAGTTCATATTGCCTACCACTTTCGACATCTTCACCAGATCGATGTGTACCTTCTCTCCTGGTCGGGTTGGATAGGATGAATGAAGTGGCTCTTTGTATTTCACAAGAGCCCTTTTCTGGCATTCCTCGCATGTCATACAGTATCTCTCGACGTCCTTATACTGTCCTTCCCACTAGTACAGCCGGCGTATCTTTTCGTAGGTTCCTTTGACTCCCCTGTGTCCTCCGACTACCCCGTCGTGAAGCTCCGCAACTATCGTCTGTCTCTCCTCAGGATCACAGACTACTCGTAAGGGCATTCCCGACCCTACTGGCCTTCGGAAAAGGTGGCCCGCTCTAAGGCAGTACTGGGCTGCTTGTCTCCGGATATCTGAATCTTGACTCTCCTCTCCCGTGAGGTATAATCCGATCGTTCGGTACTTGCCCTCGTAAAGATTAACTAGAAATCTTTCGGCGCGTCTCGGCTCTGCCATTGTCAGGGCTCCAGCTACTATCGGGCGCTCGCCCTCAAGAGGGATCCGAGAGAGCCCATCCGCTACGACATTTTTAGTGCCAGATATCCTCTCTACTGTGAAATCATATAGTCGAATCCGTATTAACCATCGGGCAATGGTCGGGGCTGTCAGGCGAAAGTCTTTCTGGAGGACAGAGGCGACCGCGGTGGGATCCACTCTCAAGATGAACCGTCGTCCATAGATATAATGTCTGAACGTGTCTAGACACCGCAGAACAACTAATACTTCCTTCTTGAATTGACTGTAGTTTCGCTCTGCCGTATTAAGTGTCCTACTCTCAAATCTTAACGGTCTTTCCTTCCCTTCAGCGTCCTTCTGAGACAGCAACCCTCCTACCGAACAAGGCCCAGCATCCGTGGCTATTATGAAGGGTCTCCCAACCTCATCATCAAAGTACGGCACGCCCAGTACGCGTCCTCCCTCCTTAAGTTCATCTTTAAGCTCTTGCATAGCGAGTTCCTGCGAGGAATCCCAGTAGAATTTCTCAGTTTTTCGAAGGAGTAGTCTCAATGGCTCAGCCTTCTCCGCATACCCTCATATGAATATTCGCAAGTAACCGACCACTCCCAGAAACTGCCGGACCTCGGTTGGACTATGTAATGGTGATGGCCAGTTCAGGAGTTTGTCTAACTTCGCCGGATCTGCTCGGCGTCCCCTCGAGTCACAGATAAAGCCCAAGATCTTAATAGTCGAGACGGCCCATCG